TTGTGAAAATGTTTCAAAACATTCTGAGAACCTCGTGAAAATGTTCCAAAACATTCTGAGAACCTCGTGAAAATGTTCCAAAACATTCTGACAACATTGTGAAAATGCCCCAAAACATTCTGACAACATCGTGAAAATGCTCCAAAACATTCGTGTTACTGTTGCTGTGTGTGGTATTAAATGAGCTGTAACAGGAGTTGTTCATTTGTCTGTTCCATCATCTTACTTGTTTTAAATGAAAAACATCTTAATCATCATAGTGAAATACATTTTTATATTATAATAATAATATCTTTTAAATACTTTCTCAAAAATGATCAATACAAAGATAAAAAATACGCTTGTACGCCATTTTATTTTTACTATGAATTTACAAATTTAATTTTTATTTATTTTATATATTAGTTGTTGTTTTGTTTGTTTATTATATTTATTTTTCATTAATTTTAACTGTCTGATTTTATTTGTGCTGAAATGTTTAAATCCTGGTTCAACCAAAATAAACTTCTGTTGAAATAATTTGACCGTGGCTAAGTGGAGAGCAGGGCCATCCTTCAATCAGAGGCGGTTCGATCCCCGGCTCTGCTAGTGGCACGTCGATGTGTCCCTGACCCCAAAAAGTGCTCCCATAGCTGTGCCTACAGCCTAATGTGATTGAATCTGAATTGTAAGTCACTGGATATAAGCATCTGCTAAATGACTGTAATGTCATGATGTTCTAAATGAATAAATGTAACCGTCTTCTCTCTTTCTGTCTGCAGATGGTGGCTCAGGGTCAGTTCCGGGTGCTGAAGGTTCCTCTGGGCTTCATTAAGGCCTTACAATGGGTCAGTTCATCTCTCCATCAAAGATCTACTGTCCTATCAAACATCTACTGTCCTATCAAACATCTACTGTTCAATCAAACATCTACTGTTCTAACAAATATCTACTGTTCTATCAGACATCTACTGTTCTATCAGACATCTACTGTTCTATCAAAGATCTACTGTTCTATCAAAGATCTACTGATCCATCAAACATCTACTGATCCATCAAACATCTACTGATCCATCAAAGATCTGCTGATCCATCAAAGATCTGCTGATCCATCAAAGATCTGCTGATCCATCAAAGATCTACTGATCTATCAAAGATCTACTGTTCTATGAAAGATCTGTTCTATGAAACATCTACTATCCTATCAAACATCTACTGTCCTATCAAACATCTACTGTTCTATCAAACATCTACTGTTCTATCAAAAATCTACTGATCTATCAAAAATCTACTGATCTATCAAAGATCTACTGATCCATCAAAGATCTACTGATCCATCAAAGATCTACTGTTCTAACAGACATCTACTGTTCTATCAGACATCTACTGTTCTATCAGACATCTACTGTTCTATCAAACATCTACTGTTCTATCAAAGATCTACTGTTCTATCAAAGATCTACTGACCCATCAAACATCTACTGATCCATCAAACATTTACTGTTCTAACAAAGATCTATTGTTCTAACAAAGATCTATTGTTCTAACAAAGATCTATTGTTCTATCAAACATATATTGTTCTATCAAACATATACTGTTCTATTAAAGATCTACTGTTCTATCAAAGATCTACTGTTCTATCAAAGATCTACTGTTCTATCAAAGATCTATTGTTCTATCAGACATCTACTGTTCTATCAGACATCTACTGTTCTATCAGACATCTACTGTTCCATCAAAGATCTACTGATCCATCAAAGATCTACTGTTCCATCAAAGATCTGTTCTATGAAAGATCTACTGTTCTATCAAACATCTGCTGTCCTATCAAACATCTACTGTCCTATCAAAGATCTACTGATCCATCAAAGATCTACTGATCCATCAAAGATCTACTGTTCTAACAAAGATCTATTGTTCTAACAAAGATCTATTGTTCTGTCAAACATATATTGTTCTATCAAACATATACTGTTCTATCAAACATATACTGTTCTATCAGACATCTACTGTTCTATCAAAGATCTACTGTTCTATCAAAGATCTACTATCCTATCAGAGATCTACTATCCTATCAGAGATCTACTGTTCTAACAAAGATTTATTGTTCTATCAGACATCTACTGTTCTATCAGACATCTACTGTTCTATCAAATATCTACTGTTCTATCAAATATCTATTGTTCGATCAAAGATTTTTGATAAACATTTAGACTTTAAAACAAGCTCTCATGGGCCTCAGACCCTCAGGGCCAACACTTTTCTAACAATGCAGCTTTAAAGCAAAACATGAACAAAGGTGAAGTGGTTCAGGTGAAACATCTCAACAACTATTATGGGATGGAGATGAATATTTCTTCATCATTCAGGATGAACTATAATAACTTTATTGATCCTCAGGTCAACATGTTGATGTGTCCAACACTTTGGTTCGTGACCAAACACCTATAGAACTAAAGACTGATTACTGATCATTAGCTAGTGTTAGCATGCTAACATATGGTGAACATGGTAAACATAAGCATGATAGTTTTGTCACTGTGATTATGTTAGCGTGTAGCTGAAAGTAGTGCTGGGCAGTATACCGGTATACCGGATTTAATTTCCCGTATGATATGAATTTTCACACACTGTCATACCGGTGCATAGCCGAAACAACTGCTGTCTGTCTTCAACAGGCAGCAAAATATATTGTTTGCAGCTGGTAGCGCTACACTAGGAGCTAGTTGTATCGAGTGTATTGAGAGGGACCTCTAGTCATGATTATAACTTTATAACAACAATTAATAACCCACAACTAACGCTCTTTAACAACAAAACACCCCGACACAACAGTTTGTGACACTAATAATTGTACATTTATAAAATTTCACCGCTGAACGGCATGCTGGGTACAGCTCGCTAGTTAGCTCGCTAACAACAGTCTGCTAACAGCTGGGAGAGGCTCCGTCGCTACAGTAACGTTACATTAAAGAACAGAACAGAGCGATGCAGGATGAACAAAGACAGACCGGATATGCATTTGATAGAGTCTGTGCCCAAGAGAGGACCTGGGTCTGTGTGGTATTTGTTATAAATGTACGATGGTACATAGAGGGTGATTAGAAGCTGTACGTGGAGGGACTTAGGACCCAGGGGAATGTGGGTGAAGGAAACGGGAAGAGACACCACACAAACAGCTGTTCACCGCTCGCTGCCGGCCGGTTCTTGTGTTAAAAATGTCCGCTTAATAATTAAATGCGCGATAAAATAATTGTCGGCGCTAATTAATTAATGCGTTAAGGCGAAAGAAAAAAATACCGCGATATACCGTGAAACTGCCAGAATCTTACAAAATACCGTGATACACATTTTTGGTCATACCGCCCAGCACTAGCTGAAAGCAGCAGTGAATCTCTGTATTTTAGTTATTTTACAATAATATTTGGTCTCCTCCTCCAGTTCTTCGCCATCTTTGCCTTCTCAACCTGTGGCAGTTATTCTGGGATGTTCCGGATGGCGGTGGAGTGTAAGAACCGGACAGAGAGCGACCTGGCTATCGAGGTGGAGTTTGAGTATCCGTTCAGGTCAGTGCAGCACTCATCAATGTAATCAATCAATCTAATGTTAGCATTAGCATGTACATAATGCTATTAGTAGCATTAGCATGTCAGCAATAGCATGTCAGCAATGTGTACATGCTAAAGCTAACATTAGCATGTTAGAATGCTCAAGTTCAAGTAGAACTTTAGTAATTGTTCTTTTCTAGTTATTATTATTATTTTATTCATATTAGTTTTATAAACGTTTCCTCTGACAGTCAATAAAACATCCTCATCAGAGCTACGTAGCTAACGCTGAAGCTCCTCCCCCTCTCTCAGACTCCACCAGGTGTACTTCGACGCCCCCACCTGTCAGGGGGGGAACACGGAGCGTCTCTTCCTGGTGGGCGACTACTCTTCCTCAGCAGAGTTCTTTGTCACCATCGGCGTCTTCGCCTTCCTCTACTCCACCGCGGCTCTCAGCATCTACGTCTTCTTCTTCGACAAGTACAAAGAGAACAACAAGGGCCCGCTGCTCGTGAGTCCGCCGCCGTGAGACCTCTGACTTCTGACCTCTGGGAGACGTGTGTGTCACAGTGTGTGTGTGTGTGTGTGTGTGCAGGACCTGGCGGTGACCTCTGTGTTCTCCTTCATGTGGTTGGTGAGTTCGGCTGCGTGGGCCAAAGGTCTGTCCGACGTGAAGACGGCCACCGACCCCGACGAAGTCATCACTCTGATCTCGGCCTGCGAGACCGAAGGGAACCGCTGCCGCGAAGTCCACGACCCGGTCATGTCCGGACTCAACACCTCCGTGGTGAGACCATGAGGACTCTGCAGGTCTGGTGGGCTGAGACTCACCGCTGAAAGAAACCAGGATTTCAGTTCTGTTAAATATTCATTTGTCATTCTAAAAGAAGTCAAAGTTCTCAAAGATACAAACGTATGAAGATTAATCAGAGGACGAATGAGTCCACCTCCTCTTTCATGGAGGACCGGAGTTCACATGGAGGACTACAGTCCACATGGAGGACCGGAGTCTATAGTCAACATGGAGGGCTATAGTCAACATGGAGGGCTATAGTCAACATGGAGGACTACAGTCCACATGGAGGACCGGAGTCTACATGGAGGACTACAGTCCACATGGAGGACCGGAGTCAACATGGAGGACTACAGTCCACATGGAGGACCGGAGTCTACATGGAGGACTACAGTCCACATGGAGGACCGGAGTCTACATGGAGGACTACAGTCCACATGGAGGACCGGAGTCTACATGGAAGACTACAGTCCACATGGAGGACCGGAGTCCACATGGAGGACTATAGTCCACATGGAGGACTACAGTCCACATGGAGGACCGGAGTCAACATGGAGGACTATAGTCCACATGGAGGACTATAGTCAACATGGAGGACTATAGTCCACAAGGAGGGCTATAGTCCACAAGGAGGGCTATAGTCCACATGGAGGGCTACAGTCAACATGGAGGGCTATAGTCCACATGGAGGGCTATAGTCCACATGGAGGACTACAGTCAGTGGTGTATAGTAACGAAGTAGAAATACTTTGTTACTGTACTTAAGTCGTTTTTTTGGATATCTGTACTTTACTTTACTATTTATATTTCTGTTGACTTTTACTTTTACTTCTCTACATTTTGCAAAGAAAACCGATACTTTGACTCCGATACATTTCCCCTGAAACCTTCGTTACTCGCTACAAAATCAAATCTATCTGTAGAAACAAAATGAATCATGAGACCAGCGTCGGGAACTGTGGTGGAACACAGACTGCAAGCAAGCAGGTTTGGTGAATCAGTGGTCCTAGCTTGCAAGTTAAATCGTTGGTTAATCACGTTCATGCGCAATTGCAAACAAGTGCTCTCAAAGCCGCGGTGTTTAGATCCCCAGTAATGCCCAGGATGCTATATGCTATAGCTAGCGAGACTACATGAGCAGAATTCCACTCTACGATGACTGATTTCATGACGGAAGCAGAAATGGAAGCACCTGCTACTCCCGAAACATACTACGGTGGTGACGAAGACCAACACCCATGGATCGCTGGCGAGTTAGTGAGCTGAGGAAGTGTTAGCAAACTTAACGTTAGCCACCACACCATAGGATTGACAGGAGCCGCGAGAGCGCAGCATTAGTGTTAGCATTAGGGTTAGCATTAGTGTTAGCATTAGTGTTAGCATTAGGGTTAGCATTAGGGAAATCCTTCCCAGCTGTGCGCAAGCTGTCTGTGAAGCTCAACACACCTCTACCTGCCTCAGCGGCCTGTGAAAGGCTATTTAGCATCGCAGGACTAGTCTTCAGCCCAAGAAGAGCGAGACGGAATTCTCGCAATTTTGAAAACCAACTTCGATGAACAGGACGTTTTTCAGTTTCAAGTAATGACTGGGTTGTTACTTTCGGTGCTGCTCTAGTATTGATCATGTTTTGATATTTGAGTCATTTTGTGGATGATCAGATGGAGTTATGATGGTAGCAGTCGCCCAATTGCAGATTCAGCTTGAGCAAAACCTTTGCCTGTTGTGTTCAAATCAGGCCCATAGGAGTTTACAAGGCAGGTGTCCTTTCTCACAACACTGACCTGATGCATCAAGTGGATATGTTCTGCTGAACACAATATGATGCATTTGCCCTCTACATCCTCTAGTCGGAATGAGCATACTTATAAACGCACTGTTACAACTCCTTCATAGTGTCATATTGCTTTTCGGAGAATTATGATGATAAGTTCATAGTAGATGCAAAAGTATACTTATGTACAATATATTATGTTGAACATTGTTGCTCCTGGATGGATCACAGCCAACCCAATTATGTTCAACACAGCTCCATGTCCTTGGTCATGGTGCCACAGCACTTAAAAGAATAAACTTCATAATGCTGACCCTTTGCTTTTTTATTAACAGCATTTAATTGTACTTTTACTTTCAATACTTAAGTACATTTAATATCAGAAAATTACTTTTGATACTTAAGTACAATAAATATCAGATACTTTAAGACTTTTACTCAAGTAGTATTCTAATAGGTGACTTTCACTTTTACCAGTTTTCCAGTAAGGTATCTTTACTTTTACTCAAGTACGGTTTTTGAGTACTTTATACACCACTGACTACAGTCCACATGGAGGACCGGAGTCCACATGGAGGACTACAGTCCACATGGAGGACCGGAGTCCACCGGTCCAGATACTCAGTAGTTATTATTTAAAGTCACATTCAGGATCCAATTTATGTTTTAGACTTTCACTGCTCCTGTTCAGACGTTTATATATCATATATTATATTTATATAATACATTTATATATAATATAATGTATATATATAAATATATATATATAATATAATAATGTATGATATGAGTGATGTATTGAGACGAGTCTCTGGTATTAATCTCTCCGGTCTTCCTCCAGGCGTTCGGCTTCATAAACCTGATCCTCTGGGTCGGGAACCTGTGGTTCGTCTTTAAGGAGACGGGCATCATCGCTCCTTTCATGAGAGCTCCGCCTCCTCAGGAGAAACCCGCCGCTCCGGACACTTACGGCCAGCAGGGGGCGTACGAACAAGACCCGTATGCCGGCAACCAGGGAGGCTACCAACCCGAGTACAGCCAGCAGGGGTACAACCAGGTGAGGAGTTTGAGTCTAAAGACACGTGGACAAGTTTAAAAATGACTTTTACTTCTGAGTAAAATCCCCAAACATGGAAATATTGTTCTTGTCAGTTCGATATTTTAAATATTATTATAAAAATTCAGAAATGCACAACTAAACGTTTCAACTACGACTATGAACTACATTTTAAAAGTCGACGTCACATGACCACGTCACATGACCACGTCACTTTCCTGTTTCCTACAGGAGGCAGAGATCGGCCAGGGCTACGGCCAGCAGGGGGCGCCAACCTCCTTCTCCAATCAGATGTGAACAGACAGGAAGCAGGTGAGTCACACAGGAAGTAGAGGCTGGGGTCGCTCCCTGATTGGTCCATTCAACTCACTTCTTCAAGGCACTTTAAATGAAAAGTCCAGTGATCAATAAATAAATAATTAGTTCATTGTGACTCACTAGAGCCCGAAATATGTGAAACTCACTGATGAAACTACAGATGATTTAAATTATGCTCCATATCCGTCATTTTAAGAGAACCAAATTTAGATTTTCTTTATTAAAACTAAATATTATTCATCACAGTTTTTATACAATTATCAGTGATACTTTTATTATTAGAGACTTATTATATAATATATATATTGTTGGATACATATTATATTATATATAATATGTATATAAATACAATATTATTTATAATATATATCAGAGGTCTTCAACAGGGGGTCCACGGCCCCTAGGGGGTCTGCGGAGGTACTGCAGCAGGTTCGCGACAGTTTTGGTTGATTAGACAATTAAAAACAAATTTTTCTCTAAACATGAATGTGTCCATTATTTTAATAGTTCAGTATTGTATGTAACATAACAGGTATGTTTATGCATGGCAGTGGCACCAATAGGCCATGACTCATTTTAGTTTCCACATTTATTTTTAAAATGAAAACATCAGTGTGAATAGCTCGTATGATGATTATCATGCAATTAACAGACAATGTTGATATTGGCATTGGTATCAGCTGACAAGGTATGTTTCTAAATGTCAGTGGCACGGCCTCCCTACTCACTGTACCTTGCACATGTTTAAAATAACAACATGAAGATATGAACCTGTGTGTTATTTGAATAGCTTAGTATTGAATGCACAATAAAGAGGTATGTTTATACATGGCACTAGGCCCAGTTTTATACAATATATATAGTCGGGGGTCCCTGCTCCATCTCTCTATCAGTTTGGGGGTCCTTGGCCTGAAACACGTTGAAGACCCCTGATATATATTATTAGAGACTTATTATATTATATATAATATATATTATTATCATTAGAGACCTGACTCTTTTTCATGTTTGTCTCCTGCATAGGAAACACTGGAGTGAACCAAGAGTGGGTCGCCTGCAACCTACCCACAATGCAACACTCCTGTCTGCAGAGTGAATGGGGGGGGGGGGGGGGGGGGGGGGGGGG